GTCTGTTGGCCATTTGGATGTCTTCTTTGGAAAAATGTCTGTTCATGTCTTCTGCCCATTTCTTGATTGGATTATTTGTCCTTTGGGTGTTGAGTTTGATAAAATTCAACAATTTTTATTTTAACTCATGTACTTCATAGAAGCAGGAATATAGCAAATGGGTCAGGGTAGTATGAAAAATGTTTTAAAACTGCAGGTGTGTACACGTGGCTGTATTTACTTCGGGGACAGGCTCCCCCACATCAGGCACAGCAACTGCACTTGTCCAATGCGCCTTTGCAGATGCAGCCCTGGGCACACTTGGCACAGCCCGCGGGACAGCAGGAGCAGCAGCTCTTCTTGCAGGAGGTGCATTTGCAGGAGCCGGCACATGTGCAGGAGCCACTGGTGGAGCAGGAGCAGTTGGGGTCCTTTTCGAGTCGAGTCGAGGATGGAGGTCCAAAGCAGGCGACACGGAGAGACACAGCTGCAGGCTGGAGGCGTGGTGTTTTTGTTTATTTTCTAGTAAGACTAAATATATCCAATACCCTAGTAAAGGTTTTGATTATAAATATCCAACCGTATAACAAGTACTCGACAGATTTGTAGATTTCTAATATATTAATACAAAGTGCATGACTCCATAGATCACATCCTCCCCGCAAAGAAGTGAAAGGAGAAAAGAAACTGGTCGAGGTCTAGTAATAAATATGGAAGTTGAGATGATCCATATTATAGTACATTCTACAACCAATACTGCAGCCACAGTGTGCAAAAAATATGTTTTGTTCACAAAAGACACTTCCACTTTCTGAAAGAAGCTACAAACCACTCTCTAGGTGATACGTTTCTGCAAAATTACTTTGAAGGACAAGCTATGGGACCAAGATTCAATGGCACCCTTCTCAGCACAGGTATTTTTGGTTTTGGTTGGTTGTTTGTTTGGCGGTAACCAATTATTCTTCCTTAAAAAATTGAGGTACAACTTATAAACAGTAAATTGCACTCTTTTTGATGTAGAGTTCTGCAGTCTTTGTCAAGTGCTTACAGTCATATAGCCAGCAAACAATCAGGATGTAGAACAGTTCCTTCACCCTCCCAAAATTCCCACCTGCAGCTGTCCTGTCCCCCATTTGCAACCTCTGAATATCCTATAAATGAAGTCACCCTGTATATAACCTTTCAAGTCTGGCTTCCTTCACTGAGCCTAATGCATTTGAGATTGACTCATGTTGCTGTGTGTGTCTTGGTAGTAAATTCCCTTTTTTTTTTTTTTTTTTGCTGAGTAGCCTTCCCTTAGGTGAATGTACCACAATTTGTTTATTCATTCACGAACTGAAGGACATTTAGGCTGTCCCCGGTTTTTGACAGTTGTGAATAAAGCCACTATAAACATTCACATACAGGTTTTTGTGTGAACCTAAGTTTTTATTTCTTTTCCTAGGCACAGGATATCTTTTCTTAGGATCGTATGTTATGTGTGTGTAATTTTACAAGAAAATCGCTTTCCAATCCAGAGGACTCATTTCAAAAGAGAACATCAGACAAAGGTGTTATCTTTATGGTCGTCTCAAGAAATGGCCACTACTATCACAAAAATAAATAAATTTAGCATAATGAGTCATTAAATATTATCTTGAAGGGGTATTGGAGTGCTTTTCTTTTTCCTTCATTTGTGACTTTCCTCTGGCATTCACTCAGAGGGACCATTTCACAGGGGAAACTAGCACTGTTACAGCAGAGAAAGAACCTGTGGTCAGCTTCTGACTTCCAAAAAGGGTTCTTGAACATCACATAGTGTATGATTCCATTTATAGGAAATATCCAGAATAGGCAAAGCCATAGAGATAAAAAGTAGATACTGGTTGCCAGGCAGGAGCAGCAGTGGGGGGTGGGGGTGAGAATCGGGCTGAGACTGCTAATAGGTATGGGGTTTCTTTTTTATTTTTTTTTTAAGATTTTTATTTGTTTGAGAGAGAGAGAATGAGAGAGAGAGAGAGAGAGGGAGCACATGAGAGGGGGGAGGGTCAGAGGGAGAAGCAGACTCCCTGCCGAGCAGGGAGCCCGATGCGGGACTCGATCCCGGGACTCCAGGATCATGACCTGAGCCGAAGGCAGTCGCTTAACCAACTGAGCCACCCAGTCGCCCAGGTATGGGGTTTCTTTTTGGAGTGATGACAGTGTTCTAGAATTAAATAGTAGCAATGATTGTAAAACCTAGTGAATATACTAAAAACCAGTGAATTATACACTTGGATGACTTTTGTGGTATATGAATTATGTTTCAATTTTTGAAAACAAGTAATGTATTATTACAAAAAAATTAGTAATTGTGGTCTAGAGAAAGGCTGAGGGATTGGAGCATGGTTTAAACTCTAGATTATTCTGAACATCAGAATGTGAGGAACACACATTATTTCCCAAGAATCTGGGCTTATTTACTTAGTGGCTCTCTCTGTAAGTACAAATGACACTCTTCCTAACAATGCTAAGAAGTGGAGTCGGATTGAGGTTCTTGCCATCCACAAATGAAAGAACCTGAATTTCTCATAAAAGAAAAATGACCGAGTTAGTGGGGCATGGCTTAATGGTTGTGCAAAGAACAAAACAAAATGGGATGACGTTATTTGCTACACTCCATTAAAAAAAAAAAAAGGCCAGCAGGCATTTCAATCAGCAAACAGATGACAGTTTAATTTCCTTTTTAACTTTTAGAGCCCTTAACATTAATAATAGTTCACCTGGTCTTCCCTTCTAACCATAAGAGAAATGTCAGACAGACCCAAATTGAGGAATGTTCTATGTGCCAAGGTCATGAAAAATAAGGAAAGTCTGAGAAACCGTCACAGATTAGATTAGATTCAGGAGACATGGCCACTAAATGTAACGTGGGATCCTGGATGGGATCCTAGAACAGAAAAAGGATATTAGTGGGAAAACTTGTGAGGTCTGAATGAAGTATGGAGTTTAGTTAATATCAATGGACAAATGTTTATTTCTTATTTGTGACTACAAATGTATCACGGTAACATAGGAAGTTAAAAACAAGGGAAACTGGGTGAAGGGTATGGGGAACTCTCTGTACTATCTTCACATCTTTTCTGTACCTCTAAAACTATTCTAAAATAAAAAGTTTAACTAAAATGTCAAAAGTTCCCTCCAGGTTCACCTCTCTTCTTCCTCTTTTTTTTTTTTTTTTTAGATTTTTAAAAAAATTTATTTATTTGAGAGAGAGAGCAAGTGAGCACAAGTGGGGTGAAGGACAGAGGGAGAAGCAGACTCCCCGCTGAGCAGGGAGCCCGATATGGGACCCAGTCCTGGGACTCTGGGATCATGAGCTGAGCCAAAAGCAGATGTTTAACCAACTGAGCCACCCAGGCGCCCGGTTCACCTCTCTTCTGACAGCCTTCTTTCTGTCTAGCTTACAGGTTTGGGGAGGGGGGAGGGTTAGTAAATATTGCATGAGATAATGAATGCGGGAACAAACCCCAAAGCTCTCTCTCTAAATGTAAGGTGGCATTATAAGTAATCCAAGTCCAAAATAGCCACCTCATCCCTCCTAATTCCTCACTGCGCCTTCTATAACAATACAAAGACTGGTTTCTCCTCATTTACTTCTCCTTTTACCAGGTTCTCTGTTTTATGTACTATTTACTGCCAACTGGCAAATAAGTACTGAGCACGGCTCATAGAAAGCTCCATGCCAGACTTGAAGGATGATGTGGAAAAGCAGAAGGAATGCTCCCCATCTTGTACTTCTTTAGGGAGCTAACAGTCCACTAGGTGAATTAAAACATATGCCTTCTTCTGTACCCAGTAGATGAGTGATCATGGATCATGGTTTGGGGTGGAAAGATACTAAGGAATGAAGAAGGCAATAAGCAATAAAAGTGAATGGTCAATGCTTAATCCACGTAGTTAATTCGCTCTTTTCTTAAAATTGTCTCCACCTGGGCCTTCCTTCATTTTCTATTTTTTTCCCTATTTTAATTTTTTTTTCTATTGAGGGAAGAAAGGACTATAGTTCTCAATTCACTTTGTCCTTAAAGAGAGGCAGACTTGTGTAGTCATATGTGGAGCTACGTGGCAACTGGAATTCCAAATCACCACTTGCTACCGCGTGACCTCGTTTTTATCTGCAAAGTGGGGATGAAATAGGCCCTACTCCTAGGATTGATGTGAGGATGGTGGGTTGTTGGAGGTAGAGTGTGTCACATGGTGCTTGGTATGGGTCAGGTGCCCAGTCAGCATGAGCTGTTACGCCATTCTGCATGGGCAGAGAAAGGAAGGGTCTGGGAAACAGGGATATAAAAATGAAGAACCCAGGATTTTAGGCGATCACTGTAAAGCAAGTTTACAAAACTTTTTATAGTCTTAGGAAAATGTTCACAGTATCATGTAAAATGAGACTCACAGATATGGATGTACACCTAGAAAAAAATATGAATATTTCAAAATGTTAAGTGTGGACAAAATGGATAACAGTTATATCTGGGTGGTGGAACTATTTAAAAAATACTTTTCTGTGAGAAAGTGGAAGGGTCAACAATGGAAAGGTGGTTGCCAAGGGCTGGAGAGAGGGGGTGGGAGAATTAGTGTTTAACAGTTATGGAGTTTCAGTTTTGCAGGATGAAAAAGTTCTGGACATCTGTTACACAGCAGTGTGAATGTAGTTAATACTCCTAAGCTGTACACTTGAAAATGATTAAGTGGTAAATTTAATGTTATGTTTTTTACCACAATTTAAAAAAAAAAACTTTTCTATGGCAAACAAAGTATTTTTTTTTTTAAGATTTTATTTATGTATTTGTCAGAGAGAGAGAAAGCACAATCAGGGGGAGAAGCTCCCCGCTGAGCAAGGAGCCTGATGTGGGGCTTGATCCCAGGACCCTGGGACCATGACCTGAGCCGAAGGCAGACGCTTAACCGACTGAGCCCCCCAGGTGTCCCACAAACATAATAGTTTTATACTTAAGGGAAAAAAAAATGAATGAAAGTTGTTGAGTTTTAAATGAAAGTCCTAACTATGGCTGATTGGTGTAGCTTGTTGTGAATATTTCTCCAGTTTATTGGACCCTGCCTGCCCAGGAGCAGTAAGGCTTCCTAAGTAGACATGGGTCCTCTGATTTGTTTTCCCCCTCAGGTTTCTATTGAGAGAAAACATGAGTGACAGAAGAGGGGTATTACCAAAACTTGTTTGCTTTGGCTGTTTTTCTTTCTGATCTAGGTTCAGTTGTCAGCTACTGAATCTGAGGGCATGTCCATGTGGACGGCCTGATACAGCAGCCCCTGCCCCCTTCACACCCCCTTAACCCTGCAGATTCTGCGTCAGCTGCCTTATTTGCAGGACTACCCACCAAAATCCTGTGCCGCTGGCTGTACTTTGACCTGTAAACCTGAGTCTGAGCCAGCTGGTTGAGACAGAGGAGGCTGGGCAGGTGATCTCAGAGCAGCTGTGCTCTTGCCCTGCAGTCACTTCCTAGGTCCAGGTTTCACCTAAGAAAAAAATGAGTCTCCCTCTAAGACAGGTAGTGGACATGAGCAGATAACTCACAAAACATCAAGAACTAAAAAAATATATGAAAAGTGACCACCCTCATCAAAATAAAAAGGAACAGAAATAACAGCAACACCTTAAAACCATTTTTTTCCCCACCTGGCAGTCAGTTTGGCATATTTCTTTAGAAAACGGTTCCCAGGATTTGCAAACAATTACTGATACAGAGGTAGTTGGCCCTTCTGAAAGCAAGCTGCAGTGCACATCAGGAACTGTAAAAATGTTTGTTCTAGAATAGAACATTCCATATAAGGTTCAGAAAGATACAGGAATTTAGTACAAAATGAAAGTGACAATTTCAAATTAACAAGGAGAGAGAATTCCATTTCTGGCAATATTGAGGTCAGAATGACCTAGACAATCTTCAGTTACAAAAATATCTAGGACTTGTGGAATCACTATGTTGTACATCTGAAACTAATGTAACATTGTGTGCCAACTGTACTTCAACTTAACAACAAATCTAGGGCACCTGGGTGGCACAGTCGGTTGAGCATCGGACTCTTGGTTTTGGCTCAGGTCTGATCTCGGTGTGATGGGATTGAGCCCTGTGTGGGGTTCCATGCTGAGCACAGA